CAGAGTGCTTTACAATCATTCATTGGTTATTCCTCACCACATCGCGATGAGAGGGATCATCGTTATCGCATTACAGATGCGCTAAGGATGTCAAGTTGGATTTAATTGATCCACGAATGTCGCTATTTTGAGTGATTCATTTGCCGGGCGGCTTTCTGGTCTTAAAAATCTATGGATGCTCTCTAGAGGGGGATCCAGCTAAAGCGCAGTTGAGAAGGAAACATTGTAGAAAAACGACAGAGAATCACAGAAGAGTAGGTACTAAATTTCTGAAAGGTTAAGAGGTGCCACAGAGAAGCACCGATGGATTCTAGAAGTACATGCATTAGCTGCCAACCGGGTTCTAAACAACTGCTTTTCTCCTAAGCTTACTGCCACCTTGAAAATAGGGACTTAGGTTAACATATATCGGTTTGAAAGCAGTTTGTACAATTTGGTCTCACAATGCTGAGCCAGGTTTCCTATCAGTGATATATCCAAACCCCGGGACCAAATTAGTTTGTGCATATGGTAGCTACAGGCGATCAGATGTTCACTCCGAGGACTAAAGCAAGTATGGTCACATGTTGGAAATCATATTGCCTAAGAAGGCTGGTGAATCTGTGGAGCAAATGTCAGTCACGGAAACGATATGTGTCATATGCGAGGAGAGTGCCCTAACTACCTGTCTATGGGGTGTTTGTCCTTCCCCTCTCCATTGTCTAGCTCTCCATTTGGCCATCTGTGGAGCCTTCTCAATAAGCACTGACATTGTCTTTCTTGTGTGTTCAGTTATATCCCTCAAAAAAGCCATGTTGGAGTCCTAACCCCTACTACGTCAGAATATGACTTTATTTAGAAATGGGGTCTTCGCAGGGGTAATCAACTTAAAATGAGGTCATAAGGGTAACCGTCATCAAATAAGATTATTATACAATCCTATATACAATCCTATGATACAATATAAATTATATTATACAAACAGGACCAGTGTCCTTAAGGAGGGGAAAGTTGAATACAGAGACAGACATACAAAGTGGGAGGATGGCCATGTGAAGGTGGAAGATTGGAGTGATGCATCTGAAAGTCAGGGGTCACCCAAGATTGCTGGCAAACTGCCCAAAGCTAGGAAGAGGCAAAAAAGATCCTTTCCCGTAAGGTTTCAGTGGAAGTGCCGACCAGCCCATACTTTGATCTCAGACTTCTAGCCTCCAGGGCTGCGAGACAATAAATTTCTGGTTGAGCCATCCCGTAGCTGGTACTTAGTCATGGCAGGCGTAGGAAACTAATACAGTCCTACGAATAGACTCATCTCAAAAGGAGATGAAAAATGACATATCATCCAAGGACACTGCCCAGTTTTCAATGGTTTCTGGTGCTAAGTCACTTCCTACTGTGTAAATGCTTGGGTGTGTAAATGAAGATTCCCCTCATCCAAACCACTAGGCAACATTTTGAATTGTTACATTAACAATTATAATTATGGCCAGAGCTCTTCACCAGAGAAGTTGCCTTTTAAATAACTAAGATTTTCATATTAACAAACTATATCCCTAGTTTGTTAAAGGACCTTCATTGGGAAACACATGCTTTGGGTCACACAAAACAGAATAGGGAGGAGTGCCTGGGTGGCTCAGTTAGTTAAGCGGCTGACTTTGGCTCAAGTCATGATCTCATGATTCATGAGTTTGAGCCCTGCATCTGGCTCTGGGCTGACAGCTTGGAACCTGGAGCCTGCTTGGGATTCTGTGTCTCCCTCTCTCTCTGTCCCTCCCCCACTTGTGCTCTGCTTCTCTCTGTGTCAAAAAGAAATAAACATTAAAATTTTAAAAAAAAATAAGAATGGGGAAAAAGGTGAATGGTATCGTATGATAATATAAAAGAAGTGCTTTAAATTCATATATTGCTAGTATCCATCACAAGCAATTTTTTAAAACGCAGTGAGTTAAATCCAGATAATGAAGAAGAAATGAAATAAAGAGGGGCAATTAATGAAATTGAAACTATAAAGCAAATAAAATCAATGTCAAAAGTTGGTTCTTTGAAAGACATTTAAAAGTGATAGATATTTAGCATAGCTAATAAGAAAAATAGAGATAAGACACAAATTGTGAATATTGGAAATAAAAAAAGAACATCACTGTAGATTAAACATGTGAAAAAGCTAATAAGGTATTATGAACAGCATTATGTCAACAAATTGGCAATTTAAACCAAACGTACACATCCAAAGAAAAACACAATTGATAAGCTGACAGAAAATTACATTTAAAATTTCAAACATGTATCTATTAAAGAAATTGAATCTGCAATTTAAAACTTTTTTACAGGGCTCCTGTGTAGCTTAGTAGGTTAAGTGTCCAACTCTTGCTTTTGGCTCAGATCAGGTCCCACAGTTCACAGGTTCAAGCCCTGAGTCGGGTTCTGCGCTGACACCGCGGAGTCTGCTTGGGATTCTTTCTCTTCCTCTCTCTCTGCCCCTCCCCTGTCCCTGTGCATGCTCTGTCTCTCAAAACAAATAAACTTTTAAAAAACCTCTCTTACAAAGAAATTTCCAGAGCTAGATGGCAGGGCTAGTAAATTTATCTAAACATACTGAAGGACGGGATAACACCAGTCTTAACAAACTCTTCCACAGAATTGAAGAGTAGAAGCACTTCTTACCTCATTTTATAAGGCCATCAGCACCTAACAATGACATTACAGGAAAGGAAAATTATAGAGTAATATCCCTCATGAGCATAGATGCTAATATCCTAAGCAATGTGTTAGCCTAGACCTCTTCACAGAAAACCATAAAGCATTTTTACAAAAATCAAAGCAGTCCTAAACAGATGAATGAACCATATGCACCAACTGGAAAATTTGAGATTATAAAATGTAAATTCTCCCACAAATAGATATATAGATCTAGTGGCACCTGGGTGGCTCAGTGGGGTAAGCATCTGACTTCGGCTCAGGTCAGGATCTCACATTTCATGAGTTTGAGCCCCACATTGGGTGAGCTCAAGCCCTGCTTTGGGTGAGCTCCACTTCTCCCTCTCTCCTCTCTTTTTGCCCCTTGTGGGATTCTCCCTCTCCCTCTCTTCCTGCCCTTTGTTCACTTGTGCCCTCTTTCTCAAAAACAAAACAAAAAACCGATATATAGATCCAGTGAAATATCGATCAAAATCCCAGATTTATTTTTGTGAAAATTGGCAAACTGATTCTAAAGTTTATATGATAATGCAAATAATGTGGAATAGCCAAGACAACTTTGAAGAACAAAGCCGAAGGACTTCCAATACCAAATGCCACAACTTATTATAAATAAATAAAGCCACAGTTATTAAGACAATGTGGCATTGGTACAGGACAGGAAAACAGACTGATGGAACTGAATAGAGAATCCAAATATAGACTCAAAACAAATGTAGCTATCTGACTTATGAAAAGGTGATTTTGCCTGGGTGGCTAAGTTGGTTAGAATAGATCTAACTTCAGTTCAGATCATGATCTCACAGTTCATGAGTTCGAGCCCCGCATTGGGCTCTGTGCTGACAGCTCGGAGCCTGGAGCCTGCTTCCGATTCTGTGTCTCCCTCTCCCTCTCTCTCTGCCCCTCTCCCACTTGCACTCTCTCAAAAATAAATAAACGTTAAAAAATAAAATAAAAAGGTGACTTAGTAGTGCAGAAGGAAAACGATGGACTTTTTGGTAAATTGGTCAAATGAATATCCATATGGAAAAGCCACAGTATGATTGCTGCCTCACATCATAAGCCAAAATCAAATCTAAAAGATTTCAGATTTAGACGAAAAACACAAAGCAATATGGCCTGTAGATGGGAGAATATCTTGATAGTTTAGAGAAGCAGAGTTCCCAACAGGACAACAGAACCATATTTTAAAAAATGAACCTATTAGACTTCATTAAAATTAAGAACTTATGTCCATCAAAAAATACACTGAGAGTGAAAAGGCAAGACACAGAATGGGATAAATGTGCATGTGTGTGTGTATACAATTTCCTCTATGTAGGATATGTAACTCCTCATAGATATGTCCTAAAATCAATAGAAAACAAAATGAGCAAAGGACTTGAATGGATACTTTACAAAAAAAAAAAAAATCAAAATGGTCAGTAGACGTGAAAAGTGTCTCAGCATCAGTTGCCACTAAGGGACCATAAAACCACAATGAGATAACATTACATATCCACCGAAAGGGCTAATATGGAAAAAGACCACAATACCAAGTGTTGGCATGAAGGAACACTCACTCACTGCCACCGGGAATGTAAATTGGCACAACTATTTTAGTAAATTGCTTGGTAGTATCCACTAAAGCTAGTGACATTCATACCCGATGACCCGATACTTTTACTCCTAGGTATACGTCCTATAGTCATGCATATACACAGTTATTGAAACACACACACAAAAATGTTTAGAGCAGCACTATGCTTAGTAGCTGAATAATGAAAACACCTGTCAAAATAAAATGGGTAAACGGGTTGCCTGGGTGGCTTAGTCAGTTAAGCATTTGACTCTTGATCTCAGCTAGGGTCATGATATCACGGTTCATGAGTTCAAGCCCTACATTGGGCTCTGCACTGATAGCAAGGAGCCTGCTTGGGATTCTTCCTCTCCCTGTCTCTCTGCCCCTCAGTTTCTCTCAATCTCTCAAAAATACATAAACTTAAAAAAGCAAATGAGTACATTGGAACACCAGACAGCAACGAGAGCAACCAACAATTGTTAGCGTTGACACAGATAAACCTTACAAACTATTGAGGAAAAGAAGCTAGGTACAAAAGAATTCCTCCTGTACAGTTCCATTTCTACAGAGTTGTAAAACAGGAAAAATGAATCCCAGGTGATAGAAGGCAGGGGACAGGAAGTGAGCGAGAGGGGGTCTGGAGAGACTTATAGGCAGTCCTGGTGATGGTCTATTTCTTGATTTAGATGACCGTGAAAGCGATGTGTTTATTTCTAAAATCAATCAAGCTACACAATTAAAGCATTTGTACTCATTTGTGTATTTCAATACTAAATTTAGTTGAAAAGTACGTATCTTACTGACAGTGGGTTCTTACAAAACCATACAACTTTACAGTCTGATGGAGTCTTAGATTTGGGGGTCAAAGGGGAGTGACTGACCCACCCTTGATGAGGAGGTGACTAGAAGAATGGCTAGGAGGGTAAATTCAGGCCATACTGTGACGTTCTCTCAGTGCAGTGCCAAGGGCTTGAGGATGTATTCAGTAGACCAGACACAGTGAGTGTGGACTGAGTGAGGCAATACAACTGGCTTCGTGTTTATAGAAATATTCTCATGGCAACTTATGAAGCAACTTGAAAATGGGGAGAGAAGACACAGGAGACTAGTTAAGACATTGGCAAAACGCTGAGAAAAGACAATGAAGAGTTTGAGGTAGCCAAGCATTAGAACGTGTGCTTTGCCCTGGCCCATGTCTGCTTCTTTATGTGGATCCTTGAGTAACAAGTACAGATTCTGAAAACACGGCTTCTGCCTAGAAAGTCACCATCCTTCTTTCCCAGGAGTATCCCCGTTGTTGACGGTTTGCGGGAGAAGGGCAAGTCCCTGGAGGGATCGTGGTCAGACCGTCTGCATTCTGACAACCGCTTGGGTGGTAGTTCTTGTCATGCTTCATATCTCAGGGCACATTCAAGCATGGAATTTCCTGTGAAGTTAAAAGAAAAGTTATGTTATCTGCTGAAAAATCACAGGGCAGACGCTGCAAGCAGGCCAGATCTGAAAGCTACAGAGGTGGATCAACCTTTTTTGACACTAACTTCTTTACTTGGATAACGCAGTCTGATGTTAAGATAGATTGAAAATACTAAACAGTAACAAAGAGGGAAGTATAGGGGATGCTTTTGCTGGTTTATGGTTTTATATGTAACAAGAATGTTCCTCCAGTTCTGTGGATACAAGGGATTCCCCCCCCAATTTTTAAACAAGGTTTACATCTGCAAGGATCCAGCAAAGAGACAAGAACACCCTCCTCCCACCTTACCTTTTGTTTCTTTATATATATTGTGTATGAGATGGAGGTATATGAGAAAAGTTAACCCCATAGGCTTGAACTGCTATTTTTAGAAAGGGCTGCTGCAAGTCTTGCCCTTGGCTGGCTTCTGGAAATTATATTTGAGGAGTGTTCCACCCATTGAGAGATCAGAGTGGCTCACTGCATCCAAACTGTATAAACCATATGGCTTATACTTGTATTACCCAGGGTTCTACAGAGGAACAGAAGCAATAGATTAGAATAGAATAGAATAGAATAGAACAGAACAGAATAGAATAGAATAGAAAGATGATATATATGTGAGAGAGACTGAAAGAGAGAAAAGAAAAAGATTTATTTTAAGGAATTGGCTCACATGATTATGGAAGGTAAGTTCAAACTCTGAAGATCTGCAAGATTAAGCCATTAGGCTTAAGATCCAGGGATAGCCAATGTTGCAATTCAAGTCCAAAGGCTTTCTGCTGACAGGATTTCTTTGTGCTTAGGAAAGGTCAATCTTTTGTTCGGTTCTGTACCCAACTGATTGGGTAAGGTCCGTCAACATTATAAGGAATAGTCTGCTTTGTTCAAATCCACCGATTTAAATGTCAGTTCCATCCAAAGCACCCTCACAGAAACATCGAAATAATGTTTGATCAAGTATCTGGGCACTATGGCCCATCAAGTTGACACAGAAAATGAATCATCGGAATGCTGAACACCTACTTTGCTTCTGGAAGTCTGGATATATGGCACATGCCGGGCAAAGTTTGCCTCTGTGATCAGCTCTCAATAAAAACCTTAGGCAATAAGGCTCTAATGAGCTTCCTTGGTAAAATGTTGTCACAACTTGCTGTTGGAGGAATTTACTGTACCCTGCACGAAACCACTGGACCCTTGGAAGCCTGCATCTGGTCTCCAGTAGGCCTTTTCCTGGGTCTCTTCCTTTGTCTAATTGGGCTTTGATTCCTTTTGCTGTAATAAATCATACCTGTCAGTACAAGTAGATGTTGAATCCTGTGGGTGTTCCTTGCGAATCATCCAACTTGGATGGTGATCTTGGGGACCCCCCAACACAGGGTATTACAACTGCCCATCCTTGTCCACTCTTCTCTTGAATATATCAAAAATCATGACACAAGTAAATCACGTATTATATCAAAAGGACATTATAATCAATGACATAAAAATTGCTCAGGAGGAACGAGTGATTATATAATACTTAAGGAATATGAAGTGCTACATAAATACTAAGTAACAACAAGACAAATTATACTTTTCAATTAATTCCAAGGGACGTTTCCACAGATTTCACAGAAAATAAACTTAATTATGTATGTCCAGCAAGAACTGTTATAAACCTTTTAAATGGTCCTAGAATATTTTTAGTGAGAAGGATAAATACAGAGATCCATTAACCAAAGGGGAAAATGTTTGGGGATTATTGAATGAAATTTCAAGGCTAATAGGTTTTGAAATCAGTTTATTAGAGTTATAGAGAAATATTTCATATATAATGATCTCTGGGTTTTGCTTAATAGTCATACTAATTAACTTCTCAAATTCAATAAAAGTGTAGGAAATTTGCCTATGTTTAGTACTTGACAAATAAATCATGGTAATTACATATTCACATGGTCAATGATAATTCTGCCAACTCAGTCTAATAAGCAAGGGTTCTTTAAGATAATTATTCTTTCTTTAAAGTTTATTTATTTATTTTTGAGACAGAGAGAGAGAAAGGACAGAGAGTATTCCAAGCAGGCTCTGCAGAGCCCACCACAGGGCTCAATCTCATGAACTGTGAGATCATGACCTGAGCCAAAATCAAGAGTCAGACACTTAACCAATGGAGCCACCCAGGAGCCTCGAATTATTCTTTCTTTAAAAAAAAAAAAAAAGCCACATTTATGAAACAGCGCCTATTGGTCAGGAGTTTTGAGGCTTCATGATGATATATAAATAAGAGTTTCCTAAATCTTCAGGTCAGTACTAACATCCTGTCCAGCTTTAGTAAGATGTGTATTCCCAGGGTTTTGTAACACATCCAGATAATATCTCTGGGGAAGTCTGAAGGTGTGAGGTGCATAGTACTGGGATTTTTCAATTTCAGGTCCACCTTGATTTCCATTGTTGCTGCATGGGGAACAAGATAATATACCAAATCCCAGAAAATCCACAGAAGATGAATTATCAAAAGTATGATATTTAAGAAGTGATCAAAACCACACACCATGCAAATTTTATCCAACTTCCGTACCATAAACAAGGCTGGCACTTAATCACTTGACATATACAATCTCATCTAAAACAGTGATTCTCAACATGTGATTCTCAGATCAGCATCACCTGGACACTTGTTTAAAATGCAAATTATCCAACAGCAACCAAAAAACTGAACAACCCAATTCAAAAATGGGCATAGGATTTGCATAGACATTTCTAAAAATATATATACACATATTTTATGTTTTATATAAGGTATTTCTATATATTGTATATATTTATATATATTGTACTGCCAATAAGCACATGAAAACATATCCAACATCACTAGCAACAGTGTAGGTACCTGACATTAGGCCTTGATTGCGGAGGTACCCACTGCAAAAGACTCCCATGTGAAATAAACATACTGCCAGCTGTAGGATGCAGCTGCTAGCAAACCAACAGATACAGAACTAGGCTGCACCCTACCTGAAGTTCCCATTATAGAAAGCCCTGGGCAACCTAGATGACTGACCACTCGAATGACCCCTGCTTCTCCCTTCCCATGCTTTAATTCCTACTCTTATGTTTTAAATTTGCCAATAAAGAGTGAACCCAAGAAACCTTTAGGCACCCAAACTCTCCACGCTAATAAAGGCAGGCCCAGGTCTGTGTTCCTCTCTGTCTTGTTACCTGCAAGCTTGCTGGTAGCCCTTGGGGCTTGCCATGCATCTGCCAGGACTTGTTAGTAACAAATACTATTCCTCAAAGTTCCCTGATGGTTTTTGTTGGAGTGTGTCCTGCGATCATAATAAGAACCACAAGAGTCCCCTCCCCAACCCCCATAAGTAGAAGCCCCAGAGGGGGACATGTCTGTGGAGCTCCCTACAAGGGATGTGTGCCCAGATGAGTGCTCTACCAAAAAAACAGACTGCATCTGTACTCTTATTGCTTTTGAGACAGAAAGACCCAGCCAACACTCTGTATATATGGAGTGGGGGCAGGGAGGGGAGAGGGAAGGGGAAAGAAACTTCACTTTGGTAAATTTTGTGTAGTTTCAGATAACCAAGGATACCAAAATTAGCACTATTTAAGTGGTTTCTTTAAAGCCAAGGATCAAAAAATATGTGCCCGTAAAATATCTGACAAATTCTCTCCATGGCCAAGGCTTGTTCAGTGAGGGTACTAGTTACCTTTATGAGCAGTTTATTAAGGACGTTTATTTAAATTCACATATTTTATCAGTTAGGATCCACTGTAGGTCTTTCAGATGAAGGGACTTTAATATAGGGAATCAAGTGCAAAGCTTATGGAAGGACAGAGAAAATAAGCAGGGCATAATGAAGGACCCCAGAAACTAGGAGCAGCAGGAAATCATTTACCTCTCCTGGGGCTGGAGGTTCAACAGGAGGGGGTGATATTGCCAAAGCCCAGAAGGCCAGGGGGATCTGGCTCTGATAAAGAAAGGGCTGTCAGGAGTGCCTGGGTGGCTCAGTCAGTTAAGCATCTGACTTGGGCTCAGGTCATGATCTCAGGGTTCTGGAGTTCGAGTCCTGTGTGGGGCTCTCCGCTGTCAGTGCAGAGCCTGCTTTGGATCCTCTGTTCCCTCCTTCTCTCTCACATGTGCGCTCTCTCTCTCAAAAATTAATAAATATAAAAAAAGAAAGGCTGTCTGACAGGAGACAGAGCCATGGAGGCCACAGCCCAGAGATGCCTAGAGATGCCCCAGGAAGCTTAGAGAGGTGGAGAATTATGCTGACTTCTCCCTTCTTCCTCCCCTCCTATTAGTGTCTCCACTGACTGAGCCCACCCGGTGGCCTAGAGGCAAGGGAGCCTGGGGAATGCCCCATGCAGTACAATACAGAACAAGGGAAAGTGGCTCATCTGAGATCAAACTGGCAGTCAAGGGGCAAGTAGGTCATGAACAAGATGCATCTCTTTCTACTGAAAGGAATAGCACACTCAGAACTAAAACATTCAAATATGGGGCCAGCGCTGTCATCTAAGATCTGAAAGAAACTGAACAACTCAGTTCACCTTCTTCAGCTCCACATTCTTTTCTACAAATAAGTGGTACTCTATGATGGACCTCTCAAATTGGTTGTAATTATCAAGTAGAAGAACACGTTTGCACATGCTTGTCAACTGTGAACCGTCATATGCACATGATGGCACTACTGCTAAGAGCAGAACCAGTGCTTTGAGAAGTTTTCATTCACTCTGAGAAAATAAAATTAAGGCACCACCATCAGCCCTCCAAAGAAGAAGCAGAGTATCTCTGCCCACCTCTTCCCTTCGTCACTCCATCTCACTTTAAAACCTGAATTCTGGAAAGCCAGGCTGGTTTAACAATGGGGTAACTCAAGCATGAAGGGCTCTTCAATTCTGTCTCCAAAACACATTGGCTGGAGATTTGGGCAGATGGCTTCTGAACTGGTATCCTCATACCTGGGGCCAAGATGTGG